CACTTACGAAACTACTGCTACTTCATTTCTGAAAATTGCTGAAGCTCCAACTATATTTTGCTTTCTTTCGCTTCATTTTTCTTCTAGAATAACTATATTAGCAGAATAACATTTAATTAATACAAATAACACTAACTGGATGCTTGTGGAATACTTGCAACTGTTCTACAGGATTGGAAAATCTTACTCTTTCAAAGGTGAACTGAAATCTCTGATAAGTTATGAAATGAGAATAACTGAGTTTTTATTTTTCTTGCAGACTGATGCTCTTCAAAGATAAAATCAAAAAAGCCTTTATATACTTGGAAGCAATGCAGTACTGAATTAAAATTTTTTTGCATTGCAAAGTGTTCTTTCCCAAACAGAACAACTGAATGATAAATTTGATTATATTTTAAGTGTAGACTGAAAAGCATCAGGGTTTTAGAACTACTACTGGCTTGTTCGAGATTAACAGTTCTGTGAAATGTATACCAATGAGCTGACTTGCAGAACTGCTACCTACTGCTGTTTCTTACACAGCAGCACTTTAACTTCCAGGCTTGCACTAACGAGTAAGCAGGGAGCCATCTTCAACCAATATTCTGGCACTGAGGTTTTTTTGGTGTTTGTTTTTGACTCTGCGTGGGGCCAATAACCTCCAAACTTTTATTAAATAGGAACTGGAAGCTGAAGAAGGATTCTCATCCCATCTGATTCTGGCAATGTTATGTATCAGGAGCGTTACCTGTAAACTCAACCACTTGACCAACCAGTAAAATGACAGTCCAGTTACAGACAATGGGAAGTTTTGCTCAGATTCTATGTATGAAGAAAGTCAAAACCAAGAGGCCAGAGACCTCAGCCTTTAACAGGATAACTGGCATGCTGCTTTCTGAATTCCAAACGCAATCTGTAAGAAACATAAGCTGTAATCTGTTGCCCTTTTAGTCCTTCAGTATTCCTTATTGAGGCAGACAACTGGGATCATTAGCCAAGCTAGACTGCAGGACAGCATTGATCAGGGAGAGAGTAAAACACCACTGTTTTCACAGATCCTTTTGATTGCCAGACAATAAATGTTCTTGAAAGGACAGTCATTGACAAAAGGTGTCAGGCCCAAGGAAAAAAAAAAAAAAGTAACTGAACGCAAAGAATCGACTGATATGGAATAGTTTCCCAGTGAGGAGTAAAAGAAGCAAATAAACAAGACTGCAATTTTTTGGCCTGGAGAAGAGATGATTCATGGTGAATGGAACTGAAGTCTACAAAGCTACAAATGACACAGAAAAGGTGAAGAGGAAACAAAATTCACTGTTTCATACAAAAACTTACTGGAATCAAATAACTGCCTTTAACAGGTAGCTTAAAGTTGACGTCCTCAGTAGTCAAGTGGTGGAAGTCATTATTGCTACAACATACTGCTCACCTCAAGAGTTGAAAACCTCAGCTGAGCGAATTTATGGACACACTGTCCATCAAGGGTTGTTTAACATAACGTCTCTCTAACTGAAAAATCCTTGTAGTCTGCTGGAAGAACTTACGGAAAAAAATATCTGCCTTCTCATATTGCCTTACCATTTTATTTAACTACCATTACTATCAAAAACTTCCATAGTTTCTCAAATCTGAGAAATTACGAGAATACTTCTCTTACTCAGTATTCAAAAGCTGACTCCTGCTTCCAGGCAGCCCTTGATACAAACCTCCACCAACTTCAAATTCACTATTTTTTCAAAGCCACATCTCCGTGGTGTCTCTCACACAGCTCCTAATGCCTCAGGCACGTTCCCCAAAACATTTTCAGAGTTTCTTCTGCCTTTCTTTCAAAGGCCCCCTTACTAAATTATCAAATAAACAAAAAAGAAGTCGAGGAGACGTCTATGAAAAGCGCATATCAAACTGGCCAGTCCTCCCTGCTTCCTTGTATTCTTCTTTCTGTAACTAAGTCGTAAGCCCTCTGGGAACACGCTGCCCTTTATACTTAATTTGTAAACCACCTAGCACAAATGAAGTGCTGTATCACGACGGTTATGGATTATAACTGAGAATTCAAAGCACAATAATTGCAGAAATAAAAAGTTCTGTTGGCACTTAGTGAAGAGATACTGATATATATACAGTTAAAACCAAAACTAATCTTCATATTCAAGTAACCCAACCGCCTGGGTAAAACAGTTGCACAGAAAAACCAAATCATTCTAGCAGACCAGATTGTCTAGGGGGGATTTTGGAGACACCAGTGTTAAGTGTTGGGGTGCTACAGATTTACTAGCAACTGGGAAAACACGTTATTAATGCAATGCTTTGCATAACCATGCTACAGAATTTCTGGTTGTCAAGATACACACCTAGACTTGTCCTCTTCTGCTCTCTCCACTTCATTTTCATCTAAGGTAAGAAAAAAGAAACACACTGGTTAAGAGTTACACATTTAAAGCCCTCTGAACAGCAGGTATGTGGCCAAGCATATAATTAGGCAACTCCTGAGTCGGGCAAGCAGTAACTTTTCTGGCACGTCGCTAACGCCACAGCTGCAGCAGGAGTCCCGCTTCGGACCCCGAGGCCTGGCAGGCCCGGGGACGGCACTGGCAGCTGAAGCGAGGCCGAGCCCCCCGAGAAGGCTCTGCGGGAGGGCAGCGGCCACGGGG